TCCGTTTTCCATAGTTAAAGAACCAGCTTTTAAAAAGTTTGCAGGGTGGATTCCTGGATATAAACCGCCAACAAGAAAAACTTTGTCAGGTTCATTACTTCAGGAATGTTATGTCAAAAGTGAGCAAATTATTAGATCGCAAGTTGTTAAAGAAGTAGAAAATATCTGTATTACTACTGACCTCTGGACATCTGGAGTAACTGAGAGTTACTTCGCATTAACAGGACAATATTTAACCGAAAATTTAGTATTCAAAACTTTTTTATTAGGCTGCTGCCATTTTTCTGGAAACCATAATCCAGAAAACAGCGATTACTGAAATTATTATTCAGTCGGGTCTAAAACGAAAAGTAAATTTTGCAGTAACTGATAATTCCTAAAATATGGTCAAAGCTATTAAATATGTTTTGTTTTATGATGATTGTGATTTATGATGATGATTAAATTTATTGGTGGGGGACGCACTTAAATGCTGTCGTGTACAAATAGATAAAATAAAAAGTCCTTTTTTCGACAATTCTGCAAAAAAACACATTTCAAAAAAGTACCTTATCTTCAGAAAGGCTTTTAAAGTATTAATTACAACAGAACACAGTTCCCAAACGGCCAATCCAAGACGTGGAAACTAGGTAGAACTTCACCTATTACATGTTAAAAAGAATGACCGAGTTATAAGAGGCAACCCGTTCCACATTGGTATTAAATAATACAGACTTAGACTTAAACCTAATCTAAATAAAGAACACTGGATTATTTGTTCTCAACTTTCCCAAATTTTACGGCCGTTTAAAGAAATAACAAGTACAATGAGTGACCAAAAATACTTGAATGCTAGTTCAGTGATTGTTATGGTACGCTGCCTGCAAGAATCTTGCAATAAAATTTTAGCAAACGGCATACTTACATCCATAGTATCCGACATAGTACAATTACTAATATCGGGTTTAGCAAAAAGATTTAAAGGGATAGAACAGAGTGGCACATTGTCATTATGTACATTTATGGATTCACGATTTAAAGTGCAGAACAAAACAAAAAGTTAAGAAGCTGGTTACTTCTATAATTAACGAACAAGAAGATTGTACTATTGAAAATCAACCAGTACAAGAAAAAGAAACCAATAAATATGACTTAAGTGCATGGTGTATTTTTGATCAATTAATTGAAGATGACTCATCTACACGTATACCTGCATCGAGAGTCCATTACAACGATGGAAAAACCATCGTCATGTATATCCTAACTTAACCACTATATTCATAAAGTATTGTAAATGTGAACACATGTTCAAAATCTGGTTTAATTTTAAATAAAAAAGAATACGGTTAACAAGAAGTAAAGTAGAAAAACTTATGTTTTTATGTCAATTTAGACTATTCGCGATTTAATAATAACGTGTAATGTAAATGTAAGTCCGATTTACTATTTGTATTGTTTAGTTTAGAACAGAATATTTAAAACAGAATATTTAAAAATTGGAGGAAATACCACAGATCTGAGGCTTGAAAACGCAGTCATAAAAGGCTGCAACCAGTATAAATATCTAGGAAGCATCATATCAGCAGATGGCAGAGTTAAGATAGATGTACAAAACCGAATAACCCAAGGGAAAAAATGCATCCGAATACTGAATTCATTACTGTGGTCTAATAAAATAAAGATGCATACCAAACTTCGCGTATACAGAGCAATTGTAGAACCAATTACCACATATGGTGCCGAATGATGGACGATGACAAAGAATGAACGAGATAAAGTAGACGTTGTGGAAATGGATTATCTTAGAAGGTCATGTCGAGTATCGAGAATGGAAAGAATCAGGAATGAGGAAATACGAAACCGTACAGGAATTAGAGATACTCTTTCAGATAGAATACAAGGAAGGCAATTACAATGGTATGGTCACGTGATGAGAATGGAGGAGGAGCGGTGGCCAAAGAAAGCCTTAATGTATGTTCCGCCAGAAAGAAGGAAAAGGGGAAGACCACCAAATTCCTGGAGAAGAGAAATTACAAAAACAATGCAATCTAGAGGCTTAGAAGATGGAGATTGGGGAGATAGGAAAAGATGGAGGCTGAAATGCGGGAAGCGGCAATCGCCGTAGGACCCCCGTTATATGATGATGATGATTGTTTAGTTTATTTTTCAAGTTATAATAAATATATCATTAGGTAGTTTCTTTCACTTCAAAAGATATACACATAAACGATAATAGCCGTTATGTTTGTTTATGTAGGTACTATCTTACTTGAAACTACTTTTAAACAATCATAGTTACTTGTTTATGAAAATTAAAAATTTTAAATGCTTTTTAGCATTCAAAAAAATTTAAATTTTTTTGGAATCCTGAGAAAACTAACAAATATTTTTGAAAAATTTAAATGCAGAATGAAAGATTACATTATTACCGAGGGCCGAAGGTCCCTTAGAATAAACAAAAAGTTTTTTTAATGAGATATTTGAAATTAAAAATCACACTAAATTTTGTTTTTTTTTCATCCCTATAACTTATTAAAATAAACATTATAGAAGTTTTCAGGGACTTTCAGCTCTCGGTAATAATGTATTGTTTCATTCTGCGTTTAATTTTTTCAAAAATATTTATTAGTTTTCTCAGGATTCGAAAAAAATGAATGCATTTAAAAAACATTGGCCCGAAATTTTGCTCCTACGCTTTTAACGATAAACTAGCACGACCCACCTCTACTTCCCGATCTTTTGACCAGACGACTATCTAGACTAGACGTTGCCAAATAAATTAGTGTATGAATATTTTTTAATTTGGCGTTATTGTATGCATGTTTAATTGTTTATTATTTCATATTGGGAAATTATTTTGATGTTTAGATTTTTAGTTCGGAAATCGTACTTAAAATACGAAACATTAATAAATTTTATTTATATAAAACGATTTCCGAAATGGAAATCAAAATGTTATATTACAATTATTGTAAAGAAAACTTGTGGCATATTCCCAATAAAAAAAACAGTAACCTGCCATTTAAATCAATTTCGCCCAAATTTGATTATCTTGAGCATTTTATCTTCTTGATAGAACATTGTTCAAATGCAAAAAAAGACAACAGGTCAAATAAAACCAATAAGTTTGGCAACGTTGAATTTCCCCTTTTTTAATATTTCCATTCGGCGATATAAAGGGCGTACCTAATATACCTCTCTCTTTTTAAACAGCTGTTTCTCACTCCATCTCACGTAAGGTCCATACCGACCATAAAATTTTTCCTACACTGTATATAGTATGAAGTAGCCACCTTCTTTGTCTTTTTTCCTTCCACCTTATGACCGAAAAACCCACCACTCTTCGAGTGATCCTTAATTTATATATATATATATATATATATATATATATATATATATATATATATATATATATATATATATATATATTGTAATATTTCAACTGTACCAAATAAAGTTCTTTTTGAAACGTTAAACAAGTATTTAGTAATATAACTTACCTACATATATATGTAGGTACTAGGGTATATACTAGCTCTACATTTTTTGACAATCGTGCAGTTGCGAATAAGTGAGTTTTTCTCTTAGAGGCAGTGAATAGCTGGAATATCAATAAAAAATTATCAATTTTAATCGCTAAATGATTTTTTATTTTCAGGCTGTTCTGTTTAAAGGGTGAGAAAAACCCAATCGACGTAATAATTTTTTGGAGCAGTGTATTTTATACTAAAAATTCAATTTTTTTTAGGATCGTTGTAACTTTCAGATTTCTTGTTTGTTAAGAACGATTTTTATACATATAGAAATATATAAAATATTTATATAAAGTAAATCTAAAACGCTTTACATACAGAATCAACATCCTTATATAATATAACATCTTATTTTATTTTTACATTAGATATATTAATGACTAACATGTAGATATCACATTTAGTTAATATATGGAACATATATGTAGTTAAATTTAAGATATGCGGGTATTCACTTCGATAGACGCCCTGAAAAACAAAAGAAAATATTAGTAATGTGAATGTCGACCCCTACAAAAAGAGGTCACAAAGACATAAAAAAATACTTTAAATAATAATAACACATCTCTATATAAATTAAAAACATAATATAGAATAGAATATAATTTAAAAATTAATGGGAAAATCCCAGTAGTTGACTGTATACCATAGTTAAAAAACTTATACAGAAGTAAAAAAGTTCAAAATTTGTATATTTGTATAAAAACATTTAACTTGTTAAAAGTGTCGTCCAAAATTTATAGATACATAATGTTTCCGATCTAGCTCAGATCATCCCCAGTGAGTTCTTTTGGTACTTGTACTACCTAAATTCAAATATGTAAAACCATATACTGTAGCATAATAAACTCCTTATAACTATCGAATATTTAAGGAATACAATTTTTTTGGTATGCTCCTTGTTAGGTATAAATTTCTTTTAAAAGTTGTTTACTAAAACATATTTGAGACACATTCAAGCGAACTGTGTAATGAAATAATTCATATATTCCGTCTTCGTTCTACAATTTTAAAAGAAAGCAATGATTCAAGGTGAAAGGGAAACGATAGAAGTTGGGTACACAGATCGAGGAAGGTCAAAACTCAGGTAGAAAAGATTAGTCTTTGAGAGCAGACGGTGGCGTGTTTAGTTTGAGTGAACTGGCAAATTGGTTTGAAAAAGTGATTTATATTCAATGTTATGTGTCAATTTTGAACGAGTAATCACTGTGTTTTATTTTCCATGCCGTCTCTGATCCAAGATATTTGTAAAACGGCGTTTACAACAACTTTGAAGTTTCCATCCTCGTTTTATTTGTCCCTGGTTGTCATCCCATGCTTTTTCGCAGTTTAGAGATGAGAAAAAGATTCGTTCGTGAAAAAGAGAATTAAGAATAAGTAAATGTTGATGGAAAAATATAAATGGCGATGTTTGAAAATATTACAAAAAACACCAAAAACAACGAAATTTAAATGTATTTCTAGTATGAAGTTAATATATACCTTTACTTAGTAAAAGTCATCATCAGTCTGTGAAAATCTTCTTTGATTCAAAGAAGTCTGCAGGTAACTGGGTCGTCGAGGAACTCCACCGACACGCAACCTAACTTCCTCTTCATCGGCGTTATACTGGCAAAGAAGTTCTTGGGCTGCTGACTCTATAGCTAAAGCTGGAGCATTTTCTACCCTCTGTCGGCTGTACATGGAGGCTTCTCGACTGTGGACGAAAGCCACTAATTTAAAATCTTCGCCAACCTAAAACGTAATTTCAAAATTAGCATTTCGATATATAAAATAGCGTATAATTAACGATGATTGATAGTTTCGTATGAATCATCAACTTAATATTTTGAATAAAGCTATTGCAGTAATATACCTGGCTCTCTTTGAAAAGAAGTGGCCTACGATTTTAGACCACGTGCCTAATGGAGGGTGAAAAGCTTCTGCAGAGAAACTTAATTCAGTTTTATAATGAAGCTTTTCTGATTGAAGAAACAAAAATTATTACATATATTCAAAAACCATATTTATGTACAGATATTTTGGTTGGCAAACACATGGAATCATACAAATATTCAAATTAAGAACTGTTTCCGTAAGCGAACGATATTTTCATGCTCTCTGGACACTTATTGTCAAAAGTGTTTATGTTTTCTCTTTATTATTTTAAATCTTTAAATCGTATTTTTGTTTCTACAAAAGCGTTAAATAAATCTTCTCTACAATTTTTTGATATATTTGTTATTATTTTTGCTTGCTACTTTTCGCGTTTCAATGCCAAATGTATGCCTTTAAATAAATTTTAATGTTAGTAAATAGTTAAATATGATCGATAATTTTGTTTATTAAACATATGGTTTGTTTTATAATTTATTCGTCTTCCGGGTTTGGACCGTGTCATTTGTGAGTGACCCAAAAGTGGGTTCATCTCGACGTTTCGCTACAATTGTATGTAGCTTCTTCAGGAGAACAAAGAAAAAGAAAACAAAAGACAGGAAGATGGGTAGTTAGCAACGGTAACTCAGTTACTCAACGCAACCAGAGGCGAATACTAACTACCAAGATGGGCATTTGGTCACAGTAACTCAACTACTCAACGCAGCCAGAGGTGAAAACCAAATGCCAGGACAGGGATTCACGTCCAACAGCTCAGAACACTAACGCGTCGAGAGGCGGGGAGTGAATCCGACGATTACTCCGCTACCGCTCTATTTATAGTCGCGGTGACCTGTCGTGTCGGGACGTATCGGCACACTTCGTGGCGCGAACGTCAAGAAGCGCGCACTGGCCAATCATGTGGCTGCATCGTGGTAGCGGGACCGGACGGAGGCTCTAGACTGAGATTCCAGATGGGTGACAAGTAGTATCCTTCCTCTCGATTGATGTTATGTGAATTTTTTCGGATCTCTAGAGATTCGCGGATTTTCCTGGAATAAAAGAAGGGGCTCTTAGAAATAATATGGGTTTTTTCGAACAATATGGAATGACCGGTTTCTTGGCAGTGTTCTGCAACTGCAGAATGGGAGAAAAGACCTGATCGAATGCATCTTTGATGCTCTTGAATACGAGTTTTGACGGAACGACCAGTTTCGCCAATATACACATGTCCACATGAACAAGGAATAGAATAGACACCACAGGAAGATAGGGGCGGTAATGGGTCCTTAGGAGAGGGTAGATATTGTAAGATTTTCTTGGGTGGTCGAAAAGTAGTCCTGATACCTTCTTTGCGAAGAATTTTGCCAATCCTATCAGTGACATTTCGAATATACGGAAGAAAAGCCACAGGAGTATTACCCGAAGATTCTGAATTTGTCGTCCTAGGGTGTAAAGGGGGATGTAGATGTCGGTGTGTAATATTTTGAATTGTGGACTTGGAGTAACCATTGGCGACAAGGGTTTTTTGCAGATGGCCAAGTTCTTCTCTAAGGTTGTCGGGTTCAGAAATCGAAATGGCCCGATGGATGGGAGAGTTGATCACAGAATTCTTTTGGGCAGGATGGTGGTGTGATGAAGCATGTAGGTAACGATTCGTGTAAGTCTTTTTTCTATAAACAGAGTGACCCAATCGGCCATTGGGCTTGGAGGTGACTAACACATCGAGAAAGGGAAGGGACCGATTATTTTCTACTTCCATTGTGAATTTTATACTCGGATGTTGTGAGTTAAGATGATCTAGGAAGGGAGAAAGGGTATGTTGACCATGGGGCCAGACCTTTTGGTTTTAAGGGGTAAGATTCTAGGGCTAAAGACTCAAAGGCTTCCATGAAAATATCAGCAATGACAGGGGAAAGGGGAGAACCCATTGGTGTTCCAGATATTTGTTTGTAGAAATTGCTGACTCTGACCGTGGAAGCCTACGATCTCATATAGTTTGTTGTCATTATCTTTTCTATCTAGAATGGCACACACCCAGAACCAAAATTTTATTTTTTTTTCTATTTTCTACTTACATTTATTATACTTGCGATATCCTAATTCGAACGTTATTTAACTGTGTGAAGTTTTAGTATTTATGCGACTATATTGAACACTAGTCCGTAAAGCCATAAATAATTTTCTACTTTTTAAAGTACTCGTATAATATTATTTTTAACATACTTACTCTATCTTCCAGAAGATCGACTAAATCCCAAAACGATGGTCGGTCATTGGGTCGCCATGACCAGCACTTCCTCATGAGCTCGTAAAGGAAATCCGAGCATTCTTCAGGTCGTGTTAGACGGCCTTTGGATATCACAAATTGTAATACTTGTCCATTGGAATAACCTAAAAGTCATACCAAAAATTAACACCCATGTAAATAAAACATTTTTGTTTTCAAAGTACATTTAGAATATTATGACAGAAATCATATGAACCTACAACTGTTGCTTTCTGCACATGCGATGACTACATAACATATTTAAGTTTAATTTTTTTAAATTTAAAAAAATTTTTTTTTTTAAACTGTTTGTCCTTGTGTAGTGTAATGTACAATTTTATGTTTATGACATTCTAGGATTGTTGGTTAGGCCAAATTTGACGAAATGCCCCTGAAGATGCTCTAGGAAGCGAAAGTACTTGGGCAAGATTTAATTAATATACTGTGCTCGAATATCTGCCTTTCATTTGATCGAAGTTCATTTATTCGAGAATTCAACCTTATATCAAATTTGATTTAAATCATAAGTATTTTTTGGAACGCCACTGCTTTGTTTGATGAGGCTTTACTGTTCCTAGAAATTTTCGCCACTACAGTTGAGACATACTCTATAAAGCTCTATTTAACACAAGTAAAATCAAGCAGACAATATACATACATTTTATTCTAAACAGTTAATATCTACAAATTGCGACGTGACCAAGATATAAAAACTAATATTTATTTGTGACCAAGAATGAGTTTACAAAAGGTATTGTACAAGCAACAACAATACAGAAGATTAAATCCTAACAAAAAAACAAGAAATTATAAAGCAAACTATTTTCTAAGCCTAGGAGAAGGTGAGAAGGAGAGAATGTGTAAAAACAACCATGTGAACCTCTTCTTACAATGATTGTCACCAACAATAATAGCATAGAAGAAACTGATCTCATCTCACCAATTAACATAGGCCAATTAGATAGAACAACTCCAGTAATATATCTATCTAGGCCAAATTCTTCTTCATAAACTTGACAAAGATAATCAAAGTGCGGAAATCACTAAAAGAGGAAGACTTACACAACTAGGAGAATTTACACAACTAGCTTGCTCAGATTCAATTGATCCACAGTTGGAGTTGATTTCACTCTTCATACCTCTGCATAATCTACATATACTAATTCCACAGTTTTATATTTCAACACCTGTTGGTCAGTTGGTCTTTAGTAATGCTATTACATATTAGTTTTATAGTTCCCCAATTTGCTTGAGGTTTAACTGAACTACTTGAACTATACCCATTTACACACTTCTTTCAATTCTGATTGAATTTTAATATTTAAATTTCATAGTTAATTTTCTTCTCGTTTTGCAGTATTGACAGTGCCTGGTAGACCATTTTATTGTAGTCAACTACCCACTGTCCAATAGATCGTTTGGTCTATTTCTTTCATTCACACTTTATGCACACTTCATTTAGCCTCAAACCTATAACCTTATTATTATAGACGGGTGTGAGTGTGAGATCTGGATTATGCAATCTAGTTTAAATCAAAATATTCTATATGTCATACCTCATCAGCTGATTTTTCAGTAGTAGTTCTAGTTGGACCTTTGGCCAATGACAACTTATACAGAATTTTAGTATTTGCTGATCACAGATCCATAACTTTGACTGCCTATCAAAGTTGTCATATGTCACATGTCACCGTATCATTTCCGTTTAGATCATTATCCCTCCAGATACTGACAGAGAATGTAGCGTAGAATCTTTAAGTAATTTTAAACTGTTTGTCCTCGTTTTAGTGTAGTGGTTTGTACAATTTTATGTTATTTTTAATGTTGTCACATTCTACGCTTGCCGGATAGTTTACATTTTGACGAAGTAAGTCTAAAACGTTAATCTCAAAAACTTTTTTTCATCCATTAACTTAAGAGTTTTTTATCGAAGTTAACTAATTTACTTCATCTAAAAAACGTTTTCTTGGCTTATTTCAGATGCCCCTGAAGATGCTATTTTAAGCGAAAGTACTTGGGCTAGATTTAATTAACTTGTGCTCGATAATAGACTTATTTCAAAGTTCATTTATTCGAGCATTCAACCTCATTTCATTTATTAGATATACGACTATCAGATGAAAAGAAAAACGATTAGGTAAGATCAAACATAAAAGTTGAGGATATCACATCAAAAATTGCCAAACTCAAAATGTAGCTTTGCAGGTCACATTGCTAGACAAAAACGTTGGAACGCCACAATACAACATTGAAGAAATTACAAAGGTAGACCACCAAGAAGAAGACCATATATTAGATAGGTAGACGGAACAAATTGGAAGTATGTTGCTTAGGAAAGAGATCGATGGAAGGAGTTTTGAGACTACTACTTTGTATAATGTGTTTGATGTATACTTAACTAAGGCAAATCTTTATTTCAACTAAATGCCGATATATTGCGTTATCAAATAAAGTAAATAGCACAAATGATGTGATGGACAGATACACTTTGAGCTGCCATAAAGAAAATAACGCTTGTGACTTGTATAGGGTTAAAATATGAAACTTAAATTCTTACTAGGAAGAATTATAGACTCTAATATTGTGATGTTAAATTTTAATATCACAGATTTAAGAACGGTGGCACTTAGCCAATGACAAAATCGATTTTAATTCCTAATAATACCTCGACAAATTATACACGTAAAACGTTTATAACGTGTTGATTTACTCGCAAAACGAAGCCAGATCTAATTTGATATCAGCGAAAACAATTAGTTTTAATAGGAAGTAATTTATTCTCGAAAATTGTGTCTGTGTTTGATCGTGGTGTTGGTTATATTCTCGAATTCATTGCGGTTTGTCACAAGAAACACAACACGTGCTGGCAGTTATTTGTAATATGAATAATATATAATATTTTAGAAAATAAAACATGATGCTTTATATACAAAACATGTGAGCGACAATAAGACAAGTGTCTTGCAATAAACAGTTTATTCTAATAGTTTCTCATAGTAAACTATAAAAGGGAAAGAAGAAAAAATTCCATTGGGTATAGTTTTTCATAAAAAAATAAAACCCAGTGAGTAACTAACTCTTTTTCTTCTTCTTCTTCTTCTTTGTCAACCATTTTCCATCCACTCCTAAATGGAGTGGATGGAAAATGTTTCCAATCGCTTCCATCTCTCCCAATTGTTTTCATCTGTCTCTATCTTGCGCCAATCTAATCCACTGTTTGCCTGCCACTGCTCTTATGTCATCTACACATCTTTTTTGAGGTCTTTCCATGCTTCTTGTTGTCGTCCTTGGTCTCCATTCTAGAATTCTCCGTGTTCACCTGTTGTCATTATATCGGGCTATGTGACCTGCCCAGCGCCATTTTATTTTTGTTTGATTTCTTCCACAATATCTCTAATCTTCGTTCTACGTTTTATCTCGGTGTTTCTAATCTTGCGTCTTAGTGATATTCCAAGCATGGTTCGTTTCATTGCTCTTTGCGTTGTTTCTATTTCTTTTAGCAGATTTTTTGGTAAGGGCTACTGTCTCCAAGCCGTAGGTACAAACTGGTAGTATGCATGTGTTATACACCTTTTTCTTTAAGTTTATAGGAATGGAGGTGTTTTTCAAGATATGTGCTAGTTTGCCGAAAGCGCCCCATGCCAGTTGTGTTCTTCTTTTAATTTCAGCATCTTGATTTAGTTTTCCTGGTTTGATAACATGACCTAGATATACATAATGTTCAACATTTTTTATGGTATGATTTTGTATTGTTATATTTGTCTGGTCTCGGCTCAGTATTTTTGTTTTGCTGTAGTTCATTTTTAAGCCTACCGCCCCTAAAACTGCATTTAATTGTTGTAACAGTTGTAACATATCATTTATTTCTTGGATATTATCGGCTATTAAAACTATGTCATCTGCGAATCTCAAGTGGTTTAAGTATGATCTGTCGACGTTGATAACCTTATTGTTCCATTCCAGTTTCTTATTGTTCCATTCCAGTTTCTTAAAAATATCTTCTAGAGCAAGGCTAAATAGTTTGGGAGAGATGGTATCTCCTTGTCTTACTCCCCGTTGTAGTCTTATGGGATTAGTTTTTGTGCTTTCGTCCAGCTTTATATGCATTTTCATATATGTTTTTAATTATGTTAGTGATCCTTGAATCTATGCGTGCATTTTCTAGAGATTCAAGCACTGCCCATTATTCGATGGAATCGAATGCTTTATGAAAATCGACGAAGGCCATATGAATTGGAACATTATACTCGGTGCATTTTTCTATCAGTGTTCTTACGGTGTACAAGTGGTCTATGGTATTAAAATATTTTCTGAATCCAGCCTGCTCGGTAGGTTGATAGAAATCGAGCTTATGTGTTAGTCGGTTGGTTATGATTTTAGTTAGTAATTTATACAAATGTGATAGCAAGGATATTGGTCGGTAATTCTCGATGTTTGCTTTGTCTCCTTTCTTGAATAGTAAAATGACTTCGGAGTTGTACCATTCTTGAGGAATCTTTCCTTCATCAATTACTTTATTAAATAAAATATTTATTTTTAATAAAGTCGTTGTTGTGGTTGTGTATTTACCGAGTATAATTTAGTGTAGAATTTTTCAATGGCCTCGCTTACTTCCTTTCTGTCTCGGACGGTGACAATTTTCTCATTTTTTATTTCTATGATTTTTGTTGTGCCGCTTGAGTTTTTTGCTTTGAGTACTTTTACGTTGCAGTTATCTTGTATTATATTTTTTATTATATTGTTATTATAGTTTCTATGATCGTTTCTGATTTCTTTCTTGACGTTTTTGTTTAAACTTTTGAAGCTGTCCGAAGTTCGATCTGTCCTGTTTCGTATTTCTTGGAGTAGCTTAATTGTATTAGGTTGGAGTTTAGATGTTTTGGCTGTTTTCGTGATTGAGCATATTTTCTTTACCGATGTTGTTACAGTTACTTTTATTTTATTGGCTAGTCCGTTTATATCCATTTGTTTCAGTGTCTCTATTGATTTTAGTCTTGTGCTTAGCTCTTTTTAAGAGTAACTAACGGTTACAACAAACTCTTATAAAAAGAATGAGATGAGACTAAGACCACTCTAATAAATAACCACGGTTATTATTTATTAGTGTGGAAATTACGGTATGAGAGTACAGTAATTTGAATCATAACATTGTTAATCGGTGTATTTATGTCTTTGATGTATGGTAAATAGTAAAGATAGTTATGAAACAAAGATGTTAAGTGGTTTATAATACCTAATTATGAAAAACTGTTGATATGTAGGTAGTTTGGTACTTAAAATTAATCAGTATTAAGTCTTAGATTTACGTAAATATAGGAATTCAATCTCCATTTTACACTTAAAATGTGTCGCATATACTGAATTATCATCAATACTAGATTAATTATTGAATGAATTACCGGCCCTAGAGGAAATTTTGGATATTCAGGAGTTCTTCAAAATATTCAAGCCCATCTTTCTATTATTTTATTTTCGGCAGCCAGCATTTCTCCATTTTTATCTCTTACGAAGTTGGGTGTGCTTATCATTGTGGAGATAGGACCATATATTTCTTATGGACGAAAGAAGCGCGGCGATGCGAAGACGAGCACAAGCACGATTGAGGTTTGTATTGTTTGTATTTTTGTTTCCACAGACATGAATTAAAATTAATGTTTTTTAACAATCTAAATCATGCATTTCGCCGGCTATTAAAGATAAGCAATTAAACGGGCCGCTTTGTGTAGCGCTGTCGTCCAGTTATCCGTTGGAATGCATATATCTAATTACTAATTTCAACTTAAAATAATGCGGTGTGCGTATGTCAGCGATTTTATGTCGTTCCCTGACTACATAATGATAATAAGGCTTTGTGGTTCTTTAGTAGATATTCTGTCTTTACAGTTAAATGTTAATTGAAAACGTAAATTCAAAAATTTAGCTAAGGGAATATCTTGGACATCAGTGCAAAACAAATTGTTTTAAATGTATTTAATTATCATCTAAATTTAAGAAGAGGTGAAAGTGTTAGACGTTTAAGCGATAAAGTAAGTGCTATGACGGGAGTAAGTCTTAGTACTATTTCTAAAATACGCAAAGAAGCTGCGGAAGGAGGACTAAGGCCCATAAAAAAACAAGAAAACGTACTTAGTTTATTACTACGACTACGTGTTATCGTACTTAGTTTTTTCTTTAAAAATTTATCGCCGACATTGAACAAAATTTTTGCACTGGTTTAAGAAGACAAAGGTTTAGCACACATGTTACACACAACAATGTGGAGAATACTCCATGAAATGAACTTTGTTTTCTACAAACGAGGAGTGAAGTCAAGCATAATTGAACGGCCCGATATTCTAAAACGATGGCATCAGTATTTGCATGAGATAAAATAATTCCGTTCTCAACGATACATCGTCGTTGGACGAAACTTGGGTGAATGTTGGACATAGTGTTTTTAAAGAATGGAAGAACCTCTCAGTGATTTCAACTAGGGATGCGTTTGTTAAGGGGTTGTCAACAGGCCTAAAACAGCCGACACAACGAGGCCCTCGCTTTGTTATAGAGCATGCGGGTAGCGAATTGGGTTTGTAAAAGGTGCTGCTTTTTGGTTTTTAGCTAAAAAAAAACTCAGCGGACTATCATGATGGGATGGATGGTCCTATATTTGAACGATGGTTTAAGGAGAAGCTGCTTCCTAATCTTCCAGAGAAAACTGTTGTGGTGATGTTGCCTTCAATAAAGATCAAATTAAGACATGGTTGCTGGAGAAAGATATCTCTTTTAAAGAAGATTATTTAAAATCAGAGCTCATGGAAGTCATAAACACATACAAAGAAAAATACATAAAACATAAAATCGACGAGATGTACAAAGAGAAAAATGTTGCCATTCTGAGACTACATCCATACCATTGTGAGTCAAATCCAATTGAAATAGTATGGAGTCAAGAGCGACGCTATGGAACAATTAAGAAATGCATTTGGTGTAGTAACAGTGGAAAACTGAAAAAACTATTGTAAACTTGCTATTAAGGAAGAGTAACAATTTTGTGTTATTGATGGGTACATGGACGATATTGAATAGAAAAAAGAATGGAATAACCACATAAACAGAATGAAGGAGACACGTCACGTGGTGAAAATAGCAAGGGATAAATCATTAATCAGTAGAAGAAGTATCGGCAGACCGCGCAAAAGATGGAGTGACAACCTTCCATAGAGGTATCAATCCGCCAATGAACAAGCAGGATTGCTTAAGAAGAATAAGAAGACACCCTGTATATTTTTAAATAATTTTAAAATGTAGCTTTTATCAACTTACAGCTAATAATTTAAATTTTTTTACTCTTTTGCTGTAACCTTCCGTTCCGTTAGTGGTGGTTTACCCTGTATAAAAAGAAAACATTTTATGTATGTAATTGTTGTTATTACTTACATGAAAATAAAATTAAAGCTGCACTTATAGACCTATAATAATTACATACCTATATCTATCAATTAAAGAAAGAAGTGTTTATAATGCATCATTTTGTATTCAACTGTACATTTAGTGAAATTAATTAATTACAACTACACTTTACACGCTTTTAAAACAAACAACAACTTGGGAAATATATTAAAAACAACAAGAGCCAAAACTTAGTGGTCTATACAAACTTAAATGTGGCGACTGCCCAAAAACTTACATCGGTTAAACTGGTAGAACTTTTAACAAACGTATAGCAGAACATAAAATTGCTTTCAAGAATAGAAAAACAGATTCTATGTACGCACTTCACCTTTTAGATCATAATCATTCTTTTAATGACGAATTTCAAATTCTTTACATCCAAAATAAAGGGCTTAGCTATCTTTACGGACAATATGGGTAATCAAAAGAATTATGGAAGTAACATAAATACCAGACGAATTGTAAAGCAATGTATGTACCTACGTAAAAATAAAGGACAAATACGAGATAAGACGTCCAAACTACAGAGTCATAAGAGTACTACATAATCATACGATGAAAATATAGTAGATACTGAAAAAAATAGAAAAAGTGTTGGTGAAAAAGTAGTTAGGTGCGATATTAGTAAGTATCCGGAAAGAAAACTATGCTTAACGCGTGTTACGATGTGTTACTTACCTTGGTAGGGTTGTTCAGCAAGCGTTGCAATTTCCCACAAAACTACTCCAAAACTCCAGACATCAGAGTCTGTAGTGAATACTCCATCAGCTAAACTTTCAGGAGCCATCCATCGGACGGGTAACAAACCTTTGGTATCTTTTCTATAATAATCAGTCTCATAAACGTCCCTAGCCATACCGAAATCACCAACTTTAACAGTCCTGTCAGCAGCTACCATACAATTTCTAGCAGCTAAATCTCTATGGATAAATTTCTTAGCAGCTAGGTAGGCCATACCGTCCGCTATTTCTACAGCCATTCGGTATATTTCGTTTGATGTAAGATTTTGAGACGAATCTCTAATTCTTCTTAAACACGACTTTAAATCACCCCTCTCCATTAGTTCCATCACAACAAGAGGGGGGTGATTTACTGATACTACTCCTAATAATTTAACTACATGATAACAGTCGCTGAAAGATTTCATGACTGAAGCTTCATTAAGAAATTTCATTTTATCGTGAAGACTTAACGATTCGTTAACAGTCTTTATCGCGCAAGGCATGTTACTTCTCGATTTTATTACACCTTGGAACACAGTGCCGAATGTACCGTGACCTAATTCTCTCATAACCTCAATGTCCCTTCTTTCAATCTCCCATTCATCTTGCTCGTACCAAAATCCTGCATAGTCTGGATTTATAGTAGGGATAAGAGGATCTAAATGGGATCCTCTGAATTTCTTTAGGTATATATAAACACCAAAGATGAAAATAAGGAATATGGAACATATAACAGAAACAACTATTAGAACTACGTGTTTATTCGCCGACTTTAGTTCTATTTTTTGGACCTTGCTGTTATCCGATTCTCCTGCTAAAGATTCTGCCCTTACAGAAATTGTATATTCGCCAGGCCTGAGGCCGTTAAAAACTTTGGAATGTGTACTCAAATGTCTTTTGTTGCGACTTATGGACACACAAGAGTTGTCTAAGACAGTATTAGCATAACTTAAAGATATCCTATAAGCTACAATTCCAGAATTAGGACTTACAGGTTCTCTCCAAGTTACTTTTAGGGAATCCTCCCCTTGTACTTCTACGTTCATTATTTTTACGTCATCAGCGTTAGGCGTTTTTTTGGTTCTGGTAAACTGTTGTATAACACCGCTACAATGATTTTCTTCAATCGGAACATTACAGGCAGAAAAATAAAATATGTACAGCGTAAAAGGTCGAAGATTGGTTATGTTAAATGACGATTCATTTGCTGGAATATATTTATACTTGTCACTGTTTCTCTTTCTAATTTTTTCTTGATCAATGATATTGTACTCCATGTTCTTACAGTCAAAAGTATGGCAAATATGAGATTTTATATCGTGAAATTCTTCCTCGTTTTTAACATTAATAGGTTTTACACACGAGCAATCTTCTACACTTTCGCCTAATACTGATCCATTGTCTCCTTTACTATCGTTTTTTTTATTTGTACTGAAGACTGATCCTGTATCTTGATGGTCAATTCTTTCACCAGCTTTACTAAAATAAAGAATATTCTGTTAGAATTAGATATTACTGTTGAATTGGCGACCAAGAACAGTACAAGTGCCAAATCAAAAATTTTCTAAAAAAAATAAATTTTTAATCAATGAAGTCAGAGTTTGTGTTCTCACAGAACTACTGTAATAAGGTTTTTAAACATACGGGTAATGCAAACAAGTAAAATGAAAAAAGCTTTATACTCTGAGGTAGTCCGAGTAAAAGATGATTGACATGTTCTGTTCTTGAACTTTATATTTAATAAAACTTAAATTTCAATTGAGGTATAGAGTAATATTGATGATATTCTCAAAACAATAAATTAAATTAAATAACCTAGTCATTAATAACACAAAGACAGAAGGTAATAATAAACTTATAATCAAGGTTCTAAATAGTTATCAGTAGGGGTGAGGAATTTTTGCAAATAAAAAAACATTTACGCATTTACTTTTTTTATAATTACAAAATTCCGCATTTATTTCTCATTTATTTCTAACTACAAGTAAAACAACAAAAAACATTAATTAAAAGCTAACATCGTTGTAATTTCGACATTCGACTCTTTAAGAGCTGCTCTTCGATCTGTCACTACAAGATTATATTTGCTTCGTTCTGAAATATTATACAAGTCTACGCTCCTACAGCAGACAAGCCGGAAGAAGAACTAGAGCGATTTTATTAACAGCTGGACGAAGCCTTAAAGGTGACTAAGAATCACGAAATTAACATCGTATTAGGAGACTTTAACGCAAAAATTGGGGAAGGAACCGTAGATCACGTAGTTGGAAAATATGGTCTTGGTCAGAGAAACGACAGAGGAGACATGGAAGTTGCCTTTAGACAGACATCAGGGCATTATAAGGTACCAAATAGATTATGTGACAATTAATAGAAGGTACAGGAATATTATTACTAAGGTATCTGCATTACCTGGAGCAGACATAGGATCCGACCACAATCTCTTAGTAGCAAATATTAAAGTGAGGCTCGCTACAGCTAAAAGAAAATACCAGAAGGCATTAATAAACATTAGAAAACTCAAAAACAATGAAACAAGTGAAGCGTAGACAGAGGAAATAAATAATAGGTTCTCTAATATGGCAAATGGGGATGATGCTGAAAAGTCATGGACCACCATAAAAGAATAATTTGATGAGGTGAACAACACTTTTCTAATCGAGAGTAAAACAACTACCAAGAATGAGTGGATGACAGAAAAAATATTAGAGATGATGGAACAACGCAGGCAGTGTAAGATTAGGCAGGACCAAGTAGGGTACCGAAATATACACAGTCAAATTCGTAAAGAAATTATAGCGGCGAAGGAGATCTGGATGACTACACTTTGCACCGAGGTTGAAAACCTATATAAACTCGGCGACAGCTTCAACCTTCACAAGAAAATTAAGGAAATTGCTGGTGTCTTCAAAAAAAAAAAAAAAACAAGTCACTGGTATACATAATGACCAAAATGAACTAATAAAGGACCATAGCGATATACTTAATACTTGGAAAATGTACACAGCAAATTTGTTCAATGATGACAGAACACGAAAACCACCACGACTGGGAGACCATGTGTGTGGCCCAAGTATTTTGAAAGCTGAAATTGTACACATCAAATTATTAAAAAGTAACAAAACCCCAGGACCAGATGATATGTACGCAGATCTTACTTAATGAAGAAAGATTATGTAAAAAAATTATGGAAAATGTATCACATTATGGAAAAATGTATCACATGTTGATTCAAATTGGTACAGGGTAGACAAAAATACAATAATTTTGTGTGTGCCATAAAGTAACGCGTTAGTTAAATTAACAATATCAAAAATACTTATTGTCTAGCGGACAGAATATGAAGGAAATTATTTCTTATCAATTTAAAAGATACATAGTAGGCTATGTTTTTGTTAAATGCCATTATTTGTTTAGTAATTTATTGATGTTCAGTGACAGTTTAGTACTACAGTATTTTTGGTATTTGTGAATGTTTTAATTATTGCTTAGATTAAATTTAAAGTAGAAATGGAGTTAAGGGTAAAGCAAAGAATTGAAATACTTATGATGATTGGGTATGGAGACAGATCGCGAACTCAGATGGAAGTGTGCAATTTGTTTAATGATAAATATCCAGAAAGACCTATAACGCGTTCAACAGTCAGTAAGATTGAAAAGACATTTCGAGAAACTGGTACGGTTGAAAATGCACGGAAATCAGGTCACCCCTCTGCAAATGTTGATACAGCATTAGATGATTTACTTAGTTATGAAGAAGATGCGCACACTTATGTGCGTAAAGTTAGTCGCGTTATCGGTGTTAGCAAAACAACGGTACACAAACTATTAAAGCTTGAAAAATGGCATCCTTATAAAATAAAACGTGCAGGAATTAAACGAAGATGATCCCGATAGATGAATGCAATTTTGCGAAGCAATGATGAATAACTGCCACCGGGACCCTCTCTTGGTACAAAACATTATTCTTTCTGATGAGGCCAATTTCACGTTTGATTGGCGAGGTTAACCGTCAGAGTTGTAGATACTCGGCAAAAGAAAACCCCCACTGGATGCGTGAGAATCATACACAATACTCGCAAACAGTATCACGTACCTACTTTACGTAATTTGTTTCCCAGCAGAAGTAATCCTGAAGGTTTTGATGAAAGTTTATGGTTCGTGGACCTATTGAATGGCCAGCGAGGTCAACAAATTTCAATCCTTTGGATTATTTTATGTGGGGCCACCTGAAGAATATTGTCTATCCAACGAAACCAGTAAATATTCAAGATTTACAACAGAGAATTCGGACACCAATAAACAATACTTCTCTAGACACAATAAACAAGATTCAACAAGAATTTGTACAACGTTTGGGTTACTGTCAAATACAGCAAGGACTGCAGTTCCAACATTTATAAAGTCATGTATTTCATCATATTCTGTCCGCTAGACAATAAGTATTTTTGATAATATTGTTAATTTAACTAACGCGTTACTTTATGAACACACACAAAACTATGGTATTTTTGTCCACCCTGTACCAATTTGAATCAACATGTGATACATTTTTGGAATCAGCTCAGCTAGAGTAATCCGAAAATTGAGACAAAATGGAGGTTTTCCATTTAAAAAAATGACGGTGACGTCATTACTCGAAATTAATTCGGACACAGTGTATATAACGATCATGTAAATTTTCAATGCTCTGTATATGACAAAATTTGTAAAAATAATTATACCTAGTTTTAAGAAAATGTTTTCGCCGAAATATGAATGTTTGGTAAGGTGTCACAACAAAAAGAGATTATTCGGATAGCCATTTATAGGGTGGAAAATCCAGTAACCCGTATATATTTCAAAGAACGATTATTGTATAGACAGCTTTTAAAATATTTTTTTGTATTAGTTTCTTAAAAATAGTTAACACAATTTTTGGAAAGTGTAGAATTAAGTTGTGGTTATAAAGGTATAAGGAATTTTATTTATTCTTGGAACTCCAGAACGAACAAGCAAATAGGAAAGTTTGAGAATTTCTTAAGAATTACAAGAGAGGTTAAATTTGGTAAATTATATGGTATGGTTGAAAGTTTTTTTTTATTGGATGAAAAATAATGATGGAAGGAGAGAACGAGCCGATGCCTGAAATAAATTAGTAGATTTTGGCAGTTGGGTTTGTTCGATCAAAAGGAGAACCTAGGCACCTAGTCGATAAAAGAAATCCTTGGGTCATAAAAAGTAAAAGTAATTAAAAAAAAAGGTGAAGAATTGCATCAGGAGAAGATAGGAACGGGAAGTGTGGGAAGCAGTGAATAAGCACGAGAGCTGAATTTGCAGTCGTTTGCTTTTGTGACATGAATGTATGGACTTTGAGAAATTATGCCAAATTAACTATCAGCATCAGTTATTTCAATGTCACCAAGTAACTTTTCAATATTCAGGGCCAATTAATCTTTTTGTGTTTGTGATAGTTCATACCTAAGAATATTTTCAACTGATCTTTCCGAAGTCTGTACCTTCTCTGAGTTTACGGAACCTTTTACGGTACTGGATAGAAATTCTGCTATGAATGATAGACCCGTACCATTAGAGCTTTCTGTCGATACCTTCATATTATGTTGATCTACTAAAGTTTCACATACTCGCATGGTAATGTCTATTCGGTTTTTATTTTGGGAGTTTACATTCTGTCATAATTTTCTAACGTTATTCATTATCAAAATTTTTCAGTGTTCTATAAGGAACTCCCAAAATAAAGACCGAATTAACATTATCATGCGAGTATGTGAAACTTTAGCAGATCAACATAATATGAAGGTATCGGCAGAAAGCTCTAATGGTACGGGTCCATCATTCATAGCAGAATTTCTATCCAGTACCGTAAAAGGTTCCGTAAACTCAGAGAAGGTACAGACTTCGGAAAGATCAGTTGAAAACATGAATGTATGGGTTTCTCGTATTGAATACCATATTGCATATTAAATTTCATAATATTTCATTATTATAAAATTATCCAAATTCAATCAGATTTGTTTGTTATAAATTTTTAAAGTTGTTTTTGTTACAAAGGAGACAATAAGAAATAATATTATGTATTGGTGTTTTTAGTATAATATAAATATACTAGGATTAATATAGGATTAATATATATATATATATATATATATATATATATATATATATATTAATATTTTAAAATAATTTAAAATAATATATATAAGTATAGGGTTTTTATCGCGGTTCTCAAAGAATTAGTTTGTAAGCACTTTTTAAAATTATCTTTATTATAACTATTATGAAACACACATATATATCTAATATAGACAATATAAATTTAGAACAACCTATCTTAAATTTGAAATTCTTCAATAATTTAATTATATTAACAAAATTTGGTACCTTTCTATCACTGAATGCCTAAATGAAACTGTTTCCAAAATAAAAAGTTTAATCACCACTCAATAACTTCTTATCAGCCTCGGTTATCCTTGTTTTTGTGAAATTGCTTCTTCCAAATATACCCCAATATTTTAATTATCAGCTTCCAACAATTTAAATTATTTTTCTTCTAAATAGCATTTATAAATGTGCAAAATATTCTTCTTTATTTGTTGCTTCTTCTTTGCTTCTTACTTATAATCCTATTTCTTCTTAATAATAATCTCCAATCACCATATAGATATTATAATTTTAATATACTTTCAAATACTACAAAACTTTGAATCACTGATTACTGCATACTGTACTGTATAATTAATACTTTAATACTGACCACTGTATACTATCTGCTTGTACTATTTACTGATCAACTGACTGAATGATTGACTGCTAATTGAATGTACTGTCTTACTGTAACTCTTAACTGTCCAACTGTAACTGTCTTAATGAAAAACTGTTTAACTGTTTCACTGTTTCACTTCTTAATTAACTAACTCCATACTGTCTTGAACTGTCTAATCCCCACTCTCATACTGTTATACTGACTGTCTAATGAATCTTTGCTCCAAATTATATCGTATTTATATCTTTTCATTGTTCCCGAATATTCTAGCAATAAACCATGTTCGAATTTTCTATTTTCTAGATATATGAATGTTCTCTAATAGTCTTCCTCGCAAATAGGGTTAAATTCTTTATATTGACGTGTTATTTAAATGCTCTAGAAAATTCTTAATTTTTCTATGGATAATTTAATGGACATTTAGGCTTTTCCAGATCAGACTATACACTAATATATAAACTAAACATCTTAAATTAATACATAACACTATTTTACATCCGTAATTATTATTCAAATGTCACTTTCTGTTGAAATTCATTATTCTGTCATTATAATACAGTGTATATTTGGTTGCCTATGCACATGGCTCATTTTAATATATCATAATATTATAATTATTAAAATAAAACTTTGTAGACTTATTATTTGGTAATTTCTTAAAAATACCTTAATATAAATATTTTTTTATAATATTCTCTAGTCTATAACTTATAAATTATTTCTTTAATCACTATTTAAGTTTATGAATAAAAAACTCATAATATTATTATGCTAATTTCTTCTATATTTATTATTATCTCAATATTGTAGTAGTAGTATCCAACTTGTAAATACAATACATTTTGGAAACGGCTATCGCCGTATTCCCGTTATCCCGGTCCAAGGCATGCTCCTAATCAATACCTCTCGATTCCATCGCTCTTCCAATTCCTTCATTCCATGGGCGTCGAGGTCTACCTATTTTTCTTCTTCCAGGGCGCTTCCATCTGTAAAGTTTTTGGGACCAACGTTCGTGAGACATTCTCAATAGGTGTCCAAACCATTTTAAACCTCTTCTTGCTATTCTGTCAATGACCGTTTCTGTAGCATTCATGTTATTTCTTATAGATTCGTTGGTCTTCCTTTCCAGCCTTGATGTTCTAGCACTTCTCAAATAATCCATTCCAACTGCCAACAATCTTCTCTTCAGGTATACATTAATTGTTCATATATCAGAGCCATAACAATGAACTGATTCAACCATGGTTTGCCCTATTCTTTTTTTGTTTCTTTTGGAAATGTTGCGATCCCACCATAAGGAGTTCAGACATCCTACAATTTTACGCCCCTGATTAATTCGGTGTTTAATTAAGGTTTCTCCCAAGCCGCTCTTATCAATGAGTTCACCTAAATATTTAAAATTTTCCACTTGTTTGATTTCCACGTCCTCGTCTATCAACACTTCAAAAGTTGCATATGAATTTATCACTATTTCGGTTTTATTGGTCCTGACATACTAACATATTTAAATTTTCATAAAAACTTTTTAAACCGTTTTTGATTAACATAAAAAAAATCGGTATGTTGTAACTTTAACATCCCGTAACATTTTTCGAGAGTACTTGTGCATATAGGTAAGTTAGGCCAAAGAAGAAGTTTCACCTCTAAAAATCGTGGTATAATGTACGAAAAATCTTTCTGTGACACCCTGTTTATAACGTAAATATTAAATTCAAAATATATCACATAAAGAATATATACTTACGTTCTAGGATTCGCGCAGTAATCCCTATCATAGAGTAACTCATCATCCAACTGATCATAATACAGGTCATAGCCTGCTAGAACTCCATTGGGCATTGTTGGCTTCTTCCAGTCCAACTTTACAGTTTCATTATCGATAGCAGTAACTGTAAGGGAATCGAACCCATCAGGATCATCGGTAAGTGTTTTAAAGTGTTTTATTGTACTGTGAAATCCTAGTGCAGTAGAATTCGTTTTGGAAGAAACGTATAATATTAAGTAATACGCATATGAGGAGTTTGGTTGTAAGCCAGTGAGAGTTGTAGAGTTCATTGTAGTAAAAGTGCTATTCCACTCGTTAACAGTACATACTTCTTTACTATTAAAAGTTGAAGTCGATGTATTACCCCCTACTTCAATCTTGTAGAATAAAGTGCATCCTACGTATATCTCGTTTTTCCCGTGTGACGGATGCCAAGTGAGAGTTGCATTTTTTGAGTACGAATCAAAGTGTACATCGACGTCTTTAACCAAACAATTAGCTTTGTCTCCGTTGGAGAACCGAGAGACGCTCACATCTGAGTATTCTACTCCAGTAGCTTTTGCGAGCTTGTCTATTTCAGACTTACAGAGGAGTGGGTTGTCATGGAAACCAATGGTACCTGAAATTAAAGACCAAATGGTAATCATAAAGAACAGAGATACATATTAAACATGTTAAATTTTTGTTGGACTTCCACTACACTTAGTGAAAACTACAAAAAAATTTCTTTCATGAAAATTAATTATCTCAGGGTGAACTTATAAAAAAGCCACAATCTAATTTTATTTCTCAGTTGCTTTGTTATTGGTATAATAATATGCAAATCATGAATGTGTTGCTTGTGTGAGTCCATTTCAAATAGGGAAAGAAATAATAAATAAGACTTACTCACAATCAATTTAATTTAACTATTCAGACTATTCAAAAAAACTCATTGTGTCCAAGACTGCATTGAGATGTAGTGCATAAAAGTCCTTCCCCCTTTTTAAATTTAATGTTTGTTTCGTCCCTTCTAAGTGTTTTCTGTTTTAGTGTGTTTAAATTGTCCTTAATTGTTTTAACTTTAATATTTTATATACTCGACTTTGCAATAATCTACCATTTTGCCAATAGAACTTTATCAAAGAAATTTGATAATTACAAGTTGAAAGAATTGCACACCCACACAATTTGTACATCTAAGCTTATTCACTGTCATAAAACTGTCACCTTCATTAAATAAATACTCAATAAATAACACACGGTATTCGGTATTCCATAATTGTGTTGTGTATTCTTGTGTGTTTTTTGGACGCTATTCTTGTCCTTATCTTCGCTTTTACCAGAAAATGATCCGTGTCTTCATCAGCTCCTCTTAGGCTTCTTACGTCTAGACAGTTACTACCCCTCCTGGCATCTACTAGAACATGATCGATCTGATTTCTTGTGAAGCCGTCGTTGGAGACCCATGTTTGTTTGTGTATTTTCTTCGTGAAGACTATGGTTACATATTGTTGGTTTGTACGCTGCTTCCTTCCCAATCTTTGCATTGAAATCTCCTAAGATAATATGCATGTTTTATTTGGGTAGATTATTTATCATTTCCTCTAGTTTCTCGCAGAAGTTATCTTTTACATGCTCTTTGTTTTCCTTGCAGCAAACTTGTTTTCAAAAATTAGGAAAACAATATTAACAGCGATAGTTAAAATCGATAAAAGAACTTGAGGAAGATGTCCACTCCGTTGGTCAGACCAAATTAAGTAATGAATTATCCGCTTCATATATTTTATACCACACTGAAAAATAATCATTAACTAGTTGTGCTTTGTTAAATTATATCTTTGTTTCTAGGAAATTGAATAAAATAAGGCGAAATATTTGCATGCAATCATTTTAGAGAGATGGAAAAATTTAGATTGAGTGTTATTTCCCCCGAGTAATCAATTTGCACATAATAATCTCAAATGTACCTGTTTTTCCATTCTATCAACAATTCGGCCAAATTTTCCCGGGACCGGTAAACATATGTAAACAAACGTGCGCAGAATACATAAGATACTAAAATAAATACCTACCTGTGTTCACCCAATTTATTATTACTCAACATTAAAATTGAGATTTGCCAGCAACTGCGTGACTTAATTATCAATGATCGTCAGTCAGAAATAAATAATGCGAATCACACGGCTTAAAATACAATAATTTATTTATTTAATTATCTGTCGGCGGTGAATGCACCTGATTAAAATATGCAACGAATAATTATTCTTAGAAATATAGCAAATTAATAAAGAAAAGTTTGGCGTAGATATGAATAAACATCAATTAAAATATTATTGAATAAAACAACAACTGAATTTAAAAATAGATTTAAAAGTACTATTAAACATTAGAAGAATGGTTAAGTACCTACTGAAATATTAACGTTTTAAGATCTGGTGTATTGCAGATGTTGATATCCTTTATTGTAAGAGTTTATAAGTGTATTTGAGGAAACAAGGAAATATTCCGGAGCAAGTACAAGAAGTATGATACAATTTGAAAAGTTTACACCAAGAAAGTGTTAGAAACCTATATAAACATAGACTGGAACAAAAACTAATTGAAACGGAAGATAATACCAGGAATGTTAATCAGTTATACAAAACTATCAAATAATGTATACACGCCGCAGCCCTAGAAGCACTACGGCGATATGAAAAGATCGGACAACAAAAACTATATTGGTGGGATCAAGATATTTCGCAGGAAATATCACAGAAAAGAAAATTGTACAAAAATGTCTGAACACAAGAAATGTGGAAGACAGAATCGAATACAAAAGAATGCAAGCGATGGTCAGAAGAAAAATATGCCAAAAGAAAAATGAATCCTGGGAAAAAAGTGCACCATGCTAAATACATACATTGGTGGAAGCCAAAGTTCAGAAGGCTGGAAAGTGTTAAAAAATTTAAGAAAAAACAGAAAAATAGATAGTATCCAGTCCATATCACCGCAAACTTGGGGAGAATATTTTAAAGATTTACTAACACAGATAAGAGAGCCCTTCAAACAGCTACAGAACTATGGTCTACAAGGCGTCAGGCTGACCTCTCCATATTTCATAAACGTACCCATACTGACACGACTATACACTATACACAATTCATCATCCCATGCAACACAACATAAACTGGCACCCTATCATAGTATGTTACATAGATTAACAGAAATATTCCGATGTCAAAATACAACTTTGAGACATAATTAAATATCATTAAGCAAATAACAGTAAATAATGGATACAACGAACAAACAGTTAATAAAATTTTAAATCAAGAAGTACACAAGAAAGCTCTGAAATTAGTATTTCCACTACCAGAGAAAAAACCCAGTACCTTCTTCTCGATTACATATATAGGCAAAATATCAACAAAAATAGCCAAACACATAAAAAAGAAAGGAATAACACCAGCTTTCCAGACAAATAATAACCTAGGCAAATATATTAAAAATAACAAGAGCCAAAATAAAAAAACACTTGCACAGTGGTGTGTACAAACTTAAATGTGGCGACTGCCCAAAAACTTACATCGGTCAAACTGGTAGAAACTTTAATACACGAATAGCAGAACATAAAAGGGCTTTCAATAATAGAAAAATAACTTCTACATACGCACTTCACCTTCTAGATCATAATCATTCTTTTAATGACGAATTTAAAATTCTTTACATTCAAAATAAAGGCCTTAAGCTATCTTTGTTAAAATCTATGGAAATCGACAAATTAAAAACACAGATATAATTCTGAATGACCAACTTGAGACAAACAGTTCTCCCCTCCTCAACCTATTTCATTAGAGACTATAAAATGTAAACGCATACCAAAAATAGATCACTTGAGAAAGGCAATCAGCCGAAACAGCTGTAGTGATGAGTTTAAAATAAATTTTGTGGTAGTTTGAAAACAAAGTTTTCAGTGTTTTATTGTTATATTTATTCTTCAATTTTTGGATTTCAGTCGGAAATTACATTGCTGTCCCAGAAGTAAACCAAAGTGTTATACTTTTATCTTCAGAATACCAACATTTCGCAATTTTCGAAGATAAAATAAAAACAGATATAATAACACATTATAATTACACATTATAATGCCACAAAGGGTTCCGAATATAGATTTAACAGGATGATTTCCGAATACACATGCAACAGACAATCCAAAAGGTGGAGCGATACGTTCCATTTTTCAAAGTAAAAACGTTGCACGTCACAATTTATATTAAGTGACGTCAATTATATTTAAAATTTCTAGAGCGACAACCTTAGAGTTTAAATTTTGGAACTGCTCGATCTTTCATAGGCGTCAACATGGTATAATAATCAGAAAAATGTAATCATGATTATATTGGGAATTTTAGAATTATATTGATTAAATATTTGTTATTATTAATAATATAAATTTTATGAAATAACTATTTAAGTCTAATATTCCACAAAATAATAATTTTAATTAAATAGATTAGACAATTGTACGAAACTGATACGGGAATACTTCAAATTTAAAAGACAGTTCAGCGTGTAGCAAAATTGTTTAAAGTGTTGCCGCTTTTTTAGATTAAGAATTTTGTTTATGTTTTGATTTCTTACACAATTTGCGTAGCTCAGTGGCTAAGTTACTGGCTTAACAAGCTGGAGGGCATGGGTTCGTATACCGGCACCGACAAAATTTTCAATTTCTAATTTAACTGTGCTGCCACCGTGCTTCGGAGGGCACGTAAAGCCGTCGGTCCCAGCTACGAAAGTAGTTAAGTCAGGTTAGGAGCGCTTGCGCGCCCTGAATACCCTACCACTAGACCTTAGCCAGAAGGTTACACGAACTTTAACGATTAGAAGCAAAACCAAAGTAAAAGACGCAAGAGAACATGCTGTCAAACTAAAATGGAGCTTCACAGGACAATGAGTTCAATGCCCGACATAAAAGAAAAAACCACGAAATACAACAATGGAGACCATGGATAGGAAATAGAAGCAGAGGAAGACTACAAATGAGATGGTCTGATGACATTAAGAAGATCGGAGGATACAACTGGAAGTAAGTCGCGCAAAATAGAAAACACTGATTGATTTGGGGGAGGCCTATGTCCAAAGTTAGATTACTTAAGGCTGAAGAAGGAGAAGATATTATATATTAATAAATTGTATTTATAAATGCATATTAAATTTGTTGTGTATTGTGATTGTGCAATACCAAAACAACTAAACAGTCTATAGAAAGCTGATAAACAGCTTTCATATAAGATAGATTAGTTTGAACAAGAAATAATGGCGGGATGTTTTTACTATTAATACTGTAAAAGAGGTAAGTTCAAAATTTAGAATATATAATTTTAAATTAAAATGTTTTCTTATGTATTTTAGTGTGTTGCAGTAGCCTTAAAACTAAATGTATTTACTGTTAATATAATAGTTTGACAAATAGTTGACATTTTAAAAATTCCTCACTTACTATTCTGATGTTTTGGCAACGCTGTTGAGTTCTGACGCCATAAATCTTGAATGGCGTGCAATCATTTTTATATGAAAAACTCTATACCATACATTTTTAATATCTACAACACACAGATCAGATGTTGCTAACGTGCTCTGCGATTGTAGGAATTA